TCAAACGAATAGAAAATTTAAAAATTTTTCGGGTGGAAAATTATACCAATCAAACACACTTTAAATCATTTTCCCTACAAAATATTTTCTAGGCAAATTTTTTCCCTGTAAAACATTTTCTTTCCACCCATTTTTCACCCTTGCAATCAAACGCACCCTAATTCTACTTGTGTGTGGTTGCAGACAATGGCAAACTCAGAGCATTTGACACTGACTTGCTCCGGCAATGGCAAATTCAGTGTGGTCCCTGTTGTCAGCCTCTCACGAGCAAGGGTTGAGGACCTCTGCAATCTGATATGTTCGTAAAAGATTGTAAGTTGTTTAGGGACAAACACGCGTGTATTATTAAAGGATTATACAGTTGTTGCACGTTTAATATACTGGACTAAACCGTATTGATAGGATTCAAAAAAGAGAAGTTGAAAGTTCGTAGGTTTTGCTTCGCAATACCATGACAAAAGATACCTTTTCGTCTAATCGTTGTTCTTTTACGTCTTGTAATGAATAAATGTTGTCTATGGCCTGGAATGCTTATTCACTTTAGTCTATATTCAAGTAATGGGCCTAATTACAAGTATATATAGTACAATTTTTCTTGAAAGAACGTGTAGATAGCTTGGTTTATACATAATATTTGATACAAGAAAGCTATTTGATACAAGTTTTTACGAGGAATCCAAGAAAAATTCAATTTCTATTGTAATCATCGTCATTTTGTTTTACAACTCCCAAAGAAACAATTAAATATTGGATCCATGGTCGTCATTTTGTTTTATGCAACTCTGGAAAATGATCAACATGCTAAACTAGCTGGGAAAACATAACGTAAATAATTGGATAAAAAAAAGGTCTAATAACTAGTGCTTCATGAATCATTATTGAATTATCTACTCTTGTCAGCCGATTTTGTTGAAGGTAGAGTTCCAAACACCTTGTCCCAGAGTGCGGAAGTTATACCAAATCCTTTATTCTGGATGCGGAAATGATGATTCAAATGGTATTTCTGCAAAACAAAATAGTGAAATCTTTCCAAAATGATCATTTAGTTTCAAGACAAATCCACACTTCTTCCAAGTTGCTGTAGAATTTACTACTAAATTCTATGGTGCCTGACAACTATATGCCGTGCATTACTATTTTAACTATATAATATTGAATTAAATTGACTAAAGTAGCTCTGATATCTGTATTTTTGGTTGTAATCCAGCGGGAGAAATGACAGCATAGTAAATGTACATTAATGAGATTCTATAACTATTTAGGCTAGCAGCTCTCAGCTTATGGTGGTGATACAATCGAATGAAATTAAAATGCTGCTATAACTTGAATAGCTTTATGTTGGCAATATGCAAATTATTACCTTCAGACTTTTAGGTACGTCACCGGTTGGCTGCCCATGATGCAAATAGTAATGGGTTACATCGTACATTACGTAACCCAGTAGACCACCTCCAAACAGAGCAGGAGCGGTAGAAGGGGTAGACATGAATTTTATCAAGTTCCAGAACTGCAATTTGCATTATGGAAAAGTATTTAAGCAAAAAAAAAAAGACTTTAGTTTGTGGGATAGAACATACTGGTACACAAAGAATAGCAGTTGCAGCGGGAGGGAAAACAAGGCGTAGGCCATCCATTGGGTGCTTATGATGACAACCGTGAAGAAGATAATGAATGGTGTTTCCCCTAACAATCACTCAAAAGTATTCAGAAACATAGCTGAAAAAAAACTAAGGTAATCTAGTACATAAATGTTGCTCAAAAGTCCACACACAGACAGAAGAGAGAAACCAAGAGAACAGAGAAAGGAAAGCTTACCAATATCTCTTCGTCTTGATGTGGAAAACGAAGCGATGCAGAGTGTATTCTAGCAAAGTCCATATAAATATGCCAAATGCCACCATCAATGCCACCTGTGGAATGGTATGGTCCATCCGGATGGACATCAAAACGAACCAGCTGACAACTGGGAGCCAAATGAGGGGGATTACATACCACTCTGTGCGCGTCAGAAACTGTTCGAGGAGGAGTAAACAATTCAGTAATTTGCAACATCACCATGAGTTTGTTGAGGAAAAAAAATCGGTCAATTTATCACCAGTTAATGAAATGATGGTAGTGTTTAAAGGTTACCTCCCAAAAATCACTTTCAAAAAATCGAGGGCCTTCTTTACTAGCGATTGGCTGGTGAACCCATTCCTGATAAGCTTCACCAAGATGGCCAACCTGTAAAAATTCCATGTGAATTCCAAGTTGAAAAATGAGAGGGCTAGAAAGGGACACACAAGAACAAGATGTAAAGTAAGATAGTGGACTGCAAAAGAAAATACATTTACCAGGTCAAAAGATTAAATTTTTGTGTTTCCCATTAAAAAAGTTGAAGAAAAAGCCAATATCACAGTTCGGCGACTCGGCAGGATCAAATAAAAAAAAATGTGCAAAGAATTAGCATGAACAAGATCCATTTAATGTAGAGCTTGAGGAAATTGTTTCAACAGTTAACCTGGAAGACAAGAGGCTTATTAAGGTCCACGGTAAAGCCTTGTGCAACCATCTTTGGTTACTCAAAATGTAACTACTGTGCAGGGGAAGAGAGAATTTGAAGAGTTAGGCAGGTAAACACCAAAATATCATACTAAAAAAGGCTTAGCCAGAAAAGAGACAAGGACTGACAAATTACAAGAAAATGCCATAAAAATTAGATCCATCAACTTCATTGTTTCTCATGCACGAATATGCTCATCTATTTTATATTCTCAATCCAGAAAAAGTATATATTCATCCTCTCTGGTAAAGTGCTTAATTTGCAACCATTTATTCGATACCGATCCAGTTGCCTGCAGTAAAAAATTCCCACTACATAATTGAAGATAGTGGATGGTGTGCAGATGCACTTAACTACATGTGACCAAGAAATTAATTTGCATATCATAAGGGGGGAAGGCCCACACGAAGTTGTTGAAAGTTAAATGCACACGCACTCACTCACTCATGATTTATATAACATAAGAATCCTTTCAATTGATTTTTCAGTTCATAATCCAAATAGGAACAAAAGGATTAACATCATGAATACCAACACCAATTCCCAAAGAATGAAAATTAGATTTCACATGTACAAGTTGCGCTGGATTGACGAACTATACTGCAAAAATACTAACCACTTTTGCGCAATGAAAAGATTTAAAAAAAAAAATTATAAATTATTGATATGTAGAACATATTATTCAGATAGCTCAGTAAGCACTTAACCACACTTTAGGAAGTGCATCAGCAAATTACAATAACAAAATGGACCATAAATCAACAAACCCAACCCACAATGAACTTAACAAGTGGCAACTTTATTCAAGAAAATCCCATCAAGTAATCTAAAACTCAAAATTGTCACTAATTAAGGCACGGAAAAAATAAAGTCATAATTTTTTCTTCATAAAGAACCAAACTTTCTTTTAAAATTCATATATATTTCTATATCAGAAATTAAGAATCCATGAAATTCCCGGCTTCTAATCTAATATATACAACAATATACTTTTGCATTGCCCCCAACAAATGACAAATCTAGATGCGAAAACACACAAAATTTCTGCCAAAAGATACACAGATCTAGTACTTAAAATGAAATATAAGAAAATTCCGAAGAAAAAAATTAAAGAAATAAAAACACTAACCCAGTATAATGCTGGTCCAATCTTTCAATTTCAGCTAAGAGGTTTCTCACTCTAAATTACAACGGCTGCAAACAAAATGCGCCACCACTACGTAGCGTTTATAGTCACACACACGTGTGTGTATAATTATATATTTATGGACGTAGAACGGTAGAAGAAGTATTTATTTTGGATGATCGTGACCGCAGATATGAGCCAATTGGCTAATATCTTCGCTTTGATGGTTTTGATTAGCCAGACGGCAGAATCATATGCACAACTCAAATCTCGCCATGTGATTGAGACACAATGAAATTAGATGAACTACTTTACAGGGTTGTGGGTTGGGCCCCAGAAAAGCTTTTCTTCCTACTTCTGGCATGAAAATGATTTTTAGCCCATATTTGGTCAAACTTATAAGTTACTTGCAAGCATCTAGAGTTAGACAAAACTCTCGAATCGAATCGAATCGAATCGGATCGAATCGTACTGGACCCGAATCGAATCGAGCGATTCTTCATAAGTTAAATACTCGAATGAGTATCTGACTAGAAAATTGACGATTTTAGTGATTAATGTTCTAATTCTCAAGTCAAGTCCATGCCTAGATATCTCAGCCAGCATAGCCTAACCCAACCAAATTTCTAAATTCAATTTTTTGGCCCAATTATTAATTTCATTCTTAGCCCAAGATCTAGACATTTTTAAGTTTTTATCATTCTCTTTCCAATTTCACACTTTCATTCGGTAACCACCAAGTCACAGACCCCAATTCATTTGATAAATTGAAAACCTACTTCTGCATGCCCAAATCGAAGCCGCCTATTGCCGAGTCCGACTTTCCCTCTCCAACTACCCATCGAAGTCAAACCATGACCACCGATCGTTGACCATTAGAAATCTGTTTAAAAAATTAATTATAGTACTGAACTGAACCGAAATGAACGGTTCCAAAATTATGTTTGGATCCGACGGTTCCATTTATTAAATACTCGAAAATTTTGGTTCGATTCGGTTCAGTTCTGAAGAGAACCGAATCATATCATGTCCAGCCCTAAGAGCACCACAAAATATTTACCATAACATTTTATCGGTTGGTTACCAAAGGATACATTTTATGTATGTAATTTATATAGAGTGGAGCGACGACATTGGCCTCTCGAATTTTAATTTAATGTCTGTTTGTCATGGATGTTTAATAGGTTGGGAGTGCGGGGGCAGCACCTGTGTGTTACGGTAAATGTGTATTTTTGGACTTTTTCTAAAATCTTGTGCGGGCCCTAAAGTTTTGTATGGGCTAGATTTAGTATATATAGATGATGAAATCTTATTATTCATACTGAATGAAATCATCTCCGTTTCGCTCCATGTAAATATATGCACATTATCGAACCACATTAAATTCCTACGTTGATTTCTGTATTTTCAGTTCTCTACTATTGTGTATAAATTCCAACACATAATAATGGTAGAATTGCAATCATTTTGGTCTGCGTCGCTCTTTGACTGCAAAAGTTGTCTTGCGATAAGTTACAGCCTAGAATTCTATATAGACACAAAGGAAAATATGCAAAAAAGACAATAACAAATAGACACAAACTAGAATGCATCAACTAGCCAAGTTCATTATGATCTGCACTGTAAAAGCAATGCCATCTTTTGCTAGCCAAACTCCTGCATTGCCAAAACTCTAAACCCCGAGAAAACTTCCTCTTTACCTTCTACTACATCTACTTATCTTGGAAGTTTGCGGATGATGTATTCCGAAAACGCTGTCCCAAAATGTTGACGTGATCCCCGAATCCGTTGTTGTGAATTCTATAGTGATGGTTCATGTGGTATCTCTACATTTGAATGAGTTGGAAATTTATGGGGGCGTTATTCAATTATTAATAATCTTTTAACCCTTGAAAAGGAGCAAGTTAGTACTCAACTGATCGTTGGTTGCATAAACATTCCCCTACACGAGAAACTGTTCGAATATCTATTAAACCACTCAGATTTTTGTCAGAGCTGGATACAAGAAGGATAATGTTGTTGAACCTTGATGACTATTTTGCCTTCAGATGCAATTGGAAATGTACATCGTTGCCCTCCACCATTTTTAACCCTACCATCAATTAAAGGGCAAAAATGGAAAGTTCAAAATTCAACTTACAGCCTAAAACGCATGTGGCCTCAGTTGTTGTCAATGTCAGGGAAGCCGTCCTTGTCTAACCTAGGGCCCACACTTGTTGAAAAATGGTTTTTAAAAAATTGGTAAAGATTGGGGCCAAACACACACTAAATATTCACTTGCTCTCACAAAAACAAGCTTAGCTTCAAATTTTCAAGCACCAGCCCATGTAATAATTTAATAAAGTTGGATGGTTTTTGTCGCTGAGGTTGATTGAAATTATAATAAAAGATTGTAGACCAACTCGTTACTTGAGACCAATAGTGCAATTTCCCTTGATACCTTGAGATCATGAGATACTCCATTCGATAGCTTCCCATGGTGCAAATAGTAATGAGTGCATTCACCGATAGATCCAGCGTTCAGCGAGCATCGACGGTCGCCTTAACTGGATTCGTCGGTATTAAATTATTTTTGGTATCAATTTATATTTTTTCTGGAATATATATTTGTAATTTCATTTGTTTTTAAGCAATTCTTGTAACTCAGTTGATCAGAGCACTCATTTGGTAAGTGAGATCAGAGGTCTTGAGTTCAACTCTCTATGGGAGCAATCTTTTATGCAATTATTCAACTCTCTATGGGAGCAATCTCTATGGGAGCAATTATTTTAGTTCAATATTTTTCACCATTTTAAAACATAGTTATAAAACTAGTGTAAAGGAAAAAAAATTCAAAACTGTGCTCCCCTTGGAAAATATGGAAATCTTGACCACTATGTCATTTAGTAGATATTAGCATCATATGTAACAATTTTAATAAAGAAATATATATATTTGATTTTTCTTGCTGCTATTGACAATCAATGGTCAACGATTACCCATACTCACTAGGGATTCTGGATTGCAATCATACATGACATATCCCAAACAAGCCACCTCCAAATAGCAAGGGCATAACATAGGATGTAGGTGCTAAAAATATAATCAAATTCCAAACCTGACATTACAGAAGTAGAATATGAGCAAACAGAAAGAGTAATGACTTGAGGATTTTGAAGCCCAAACATGAATAAGAAGAATACAAAACAAATATTCTCGAGGTGCTTGAAATATTTGATCAACCGAATGCAAGCAACGTGTCGATATTTCCAGTTGAAGCCATAGGGAAAAAAAAA